TATTCAGAAATCCCAAAAATCTAATATTCAATTTCGAAATTCCTAAACTCTAAATTTCTATTTTGAAATCCCAAACCATCCAACAAGTTTAATGATTTTACTCCAGGATCAGGTCACAGAAGAAAAAAACGGAGAAGAATATGCAAAAAACCTACCGTTTCTAATGGGAGATCTCTGTCCAACAATGACGAAGATGAACCAGCCTGAGATGCAGACGAAGACGAAGCAGAAGGCACATGTGTTCTTGGATCCATGGGTGTTTGATTTTTCATACAAATCACAAGAGAGATAAAATTGCAAGGAAAATAGTCTCAGTTTCTGAAAATCATGAGAGAGAAATAGTTGTTCTTGAAATCGCACAAGAGAGAGAAAGTTTTTGAAATAAGACAAGAGAGAGTTCAACAGAAGAGAAAATGAGAGGGTGAGAGTTTATCGAGAGAGAGAGAGTTCTTTTTTTTTTATTAAAAACTTAGTCCTTTCTTAATTGAAAAGGCATGGTCCTTTTTGTCTTTCCCTTAAAAGTTAGGGTTATATATGTCTTTAACTCATTTAAGTTTTTCTTTTTTTTAGATTTAATTTTTGGAGGGTAGGGTGTGAAGTAAAGATAGCATTTTAAGGGTATATTTGCTATATCCCCATTTAACCTAGTTTCTTTATTCCCTTTCTAACATGCCTTTGCCGCAAGCCCTTTTTTTTAAAACAGAGGTTTTTATCAGTTTCCTTTTTTTTTTGTCTGATATGTTTGATTTTGTTTTCAAAATCCAACCATCGACCTCTGCTGTGGCTATTGGCTACCTTCGGTCCCTTTTCGAACCGTCGCTTTAGTTCGAATTTTATTTTCCGGCGACCTCCGGTCATGCCAAAACTCGACTGAATCCGACAAGACATAGGGATTTTGAGGTTTGCTTTATCCTCCTTTTTTTATAAAACGAATTAGAAGGAACTCAGATTAAAAAAAAACGGTTTAAGAAGGAACCATCGTGACCTTTCGAAAACAAAAAAAAAATTGGTTCACTTTTACTTGAAAACGAACCATCGTCACTGAACAAACGGTTTTTTTCTTTCCGGTGAACATGAACACAATCGCTTCTCTGATTACATTCACCGATTGTTTATTTATTCAACCATTTACGGATCCTTATTTATTCAGTTCTGAACTTGTTTACTTGTTTAAAGAACACCAAAAAAAAAACCAAAAATTGCAGAGTTCCATAAACACTTATAACAAATCAAAATTTGTTCTTAACGATCATACATTTTATGGCTCTGATACTAAATGATGAATTTTAAATGGTTTCGTATAAAATTCATGTCTCGTGCGGAATTAAAATCTGGATCATAAAATGTTGAAACGATAACATATATATCTATATGATATGATCGAAGACATACCTGACTCCATCTTTGTGATGGATACCGTAGTGTCTGAAAACTTGGGGAACAAGTCTTCTGGATTAACAAAGTGACAGGACAATAACTCTACAGAATATGGGGCACTGTAGAATTTCTGTAAAACACAACGCTTTGTAATCCAGGACCACAACCCTATTTATATAAAATAAACTTTCTGTAATTTCATTTCCACCCATAAAAGAAATGATAATTACATAATTGGTATCTGCACATAAATCCTATATTTTTCTGAAATGCTATTTAGGTCTCTAAATTCTTAATTAGATCACAAATGACCTTATTAAAATAGTACATAATATATGTCTTAATTTGATTATATGTTGATCCACCGAATTACTAGAAATAATTCTAACATAGATCTCTCTCTCAACAAATTAATTTACATGATTTATTTTAACATCTTGATGTTAAAAAAATATATTAAAGATAGATTTTTAATGATAAATTTGTGAAAATAATTTTGCGTAATCATTTTGATGATCAATTTTTGAATAATTATATAGTTTGTTTTATCGAAAAAGATATATTTCAGATAATTATAAATTAAATTGTTATAGATATATTTTAAGACAATAAAGAATAGTAAAATTTAATAATAAAATATAAACATTGTTTTGACATATTTTATTAACTTTTTTATAGATATTTTATATATAATAATTATGGCCCCTACTCATAAATTTTTTTGGATCCGCCACTGACGCTAACATTACAGATTTAGCAATCGGATTATGATGGGAGAGATTCAGGCCGCGGAGGATTAGGAGATAGAAAAAAAAAGATAATCATATATATATATATATATATATATACATATAGTTATATCCATATTTCATGACAACAAAAATGATGCATACACGTATCTATGATAACATCGATGATGATGGTGGTGGTGGTGGTGGTGGTGGGATTATTGCATTGATGATGGTGGTGGAATTATTGCATTTATACGAAACTTACATTGTTGCATATTTATATATTTGTGTTCTTGACATACACTACAAAAAAAGCGGTAAAAGACGACGGATATGTCCGTCGCACTAAAATTAACATGACTAACGACGGAATACAGACGGAAAACAATCCGACGTAATCCGTAGGTTTCCGTCGCAACATAAGACGACGGAATTTGACGGACTACTCCGTCGCAAACTCTTTGCGACCGAAAACGAGGGACTTCCGACGGAATTATACGACGGACCATCCGTCGTAACTATTGGCTACGGATACCGACCGTATTATCCGTCGCAAGTGTTACGACGGAAAAATTCGACGCAGTCCGTCGTTTTTAGCGACGGATATCCGACGCACCGTCTCCGTCGTATAGTTAGGTAAGAAACGTGTTTTTTTGCTCAGAATGTCCGTCGCAAACGGTCGTATTCCGTCGTTGGTTTGGTTGTCCGTCGGTATCCGTCGCATGGTAGGTGAAAAACGTGTTAAATGCGAATGCCGACGTCCGTCGCAATTCCGTCGCAATTCGCAACAATATTACCCCGTCGCGCGTTTAGATCACCATACAACAAACGAAAAAAACACCCAAAAAACGAAAAAACACCAAAAAAATGTCTTTCAATGCAAGAAGATGGATGTATGAAAGAATAGATCCATACACAAATCAAATATGCAAAGATTTTGAAGAAGGGTTGCAAGCGTTTATGACGTTTGTTACATCTCAACCGTCATATATCGAAGGGTCGAAACTTCCATGTCCGTGTGTGAAGTGTGAAAATACAAAATGACAGTGTATTCAGCAAGTTTGGAATCATCTATACCGAAGAGGGTTCATGTCCAATTATTTTGTTTGGCTAGCTCACGGAGAAACATTGGACACGACGTCTTCATATGATGTAGTTAATCAAGTCATTATCGATGAGCAGCCAAACGAATTTCAACAAGGAGAAAGAAATCCGTATTCAGAAATGGTGATTGATGCGTTTTCCAATGTCTGTCAACCGTCTTACGGGGAGGAAGAAGAGCCAAATTTCGAAGCTAAAAGGTTCTACGAGATCCTTAATACATCGAGCACTCCAATATACGAAGGATGCATTGAAGGTCTATCGAGATTGTCGTTGTCGTCACAATTGATGAACATGAAGACTGATTACAATATTTCGGAGAAATGTATGACGGGTTTAGTCAGATGTTCAAACAATATCTACCAGAAGGTAATACTGCAACATAATCGTATTATGAGATGAAGAGTCTGATGCGGAAGTTGGGACTACCGTATAAAAAGATTGATGTTTGCGAAAACAACTGCATGATTTTTTGGAAGGACGACGAAGAATTGATGCAATGTAGGTTCTGTGGGAAGGATCGGTATCGGCCACGACGAAAAGCATCCAAAAAAGGCAAGTTAATTCCATTGAAAAGAATGTTTTATATGCCTATTACAGATCGGTTGAAGAGATTATATCAGTCTGAGAAAATCGCATCACATATGAGGTGGCACGGCGAACATTGTACTCCAGAAGGGGAAATGCATCATCCATCAGACGGGTTAGCATGGAAACATTTCCAACAGGTATTTCCTGATTTTGCTCAAGAGCCTAGAAATGTTTATCTAGCGTTATGCACAGATGGGTTTAATCCATTTGGAATGTCGGGTCGGAACTACTCTTTGTGGCCGGTGATTCTAACACCGTACAACCTACCACCCGGAATGTGCATGAGTAGAGTTTTTGTTCCTCTCAGTACTGGTTCCAGGACCTACACATCCTAGAAGAAGTTTAGACGTGTTTCTTCAACCGTTGATAGAAGAGTTGAATGAGTTGTGGAGTGTAGGTGTCACTGCATACGATGTGTTGGTGAGGCAGAATTTTTTGCTTCGAGCACTTCTTTTATGGACGATTAGTGATTTTCCAGCTTATTCTATGTTGTCAGGTTGGACAACACATGGTCGTCTAGCGTGTTCATATTGTATGGATGAAACTGATGCATTTTGGTTGCAGCGCGGACGAAAAATGAGTTGGTTTGATAGCCATCGGCGTTTTCTACCAAGAAATCACGTGTTACGACGCAACAAGAAGAATTTTTGAAGAAATATAGTTGTTGTTGATTCTGCGCCACTTGAACATACCGGGGATGAAATTTTACTTGAACGAATCGAAGAATGTGTTCGGTCACATGGATTATCTACTACATCAGTGGTTGGTGGTAACGGTCATTTACCGATTGAAGGATATGGTGATTATCACAACTGGCATAAGAAGAGTATATTTTGGGAATTGCCATATTGGAGACATCATAAATTACGACACAATCTTGATGTTATGCATATCGGAAAAAAAATTTTCGATAACATCATTAATACAGTGTTGAACGTTGCTCAGAAAACAAAAGACAATATCAACTCAAGGAAGGATATAGGGTTGATTTGTTCGAGGAAGGATTTAGAACTTACACCTGATGGAAAGGTGCCTGTACCAATTTTCCGTGTGTTTGGAGAAGCGAAGATGAACTTTTTTAGATGGTTACAGGAAGATGTGAAATTTTCTGATGGTTACTCGTCAAATATTTCGCGATGTGTTGACCTCGGAGGAAAAAAGTTAACAGGTATGAAGAGTCATGATTGTCACATCTTCATGCAACGATTGTTACCTATTGCATTTGCAGAGATACTTCCGGAACATGTCAACCAAGCTATATCAGGTATGTTTTGTTTCGTAGTAGCGATTTTAATAGTATTTAAGATCTTTACACGTGTGCTTTAGTTATATGTTGATATTGTATTTATACCCTCATGTTTTTGAATCGTAGGAATTAGTAACTTTTTCCGGGAAATCTGTAGTCGGACATTGAAAAATGGAGACGTCCACTTGATGAAGCAAAATATTGTTCTAATTTTGTGCAATTTAGAGAAGATATTCCCACCATCTTTTTTTGATGTGATGGAACATCTGCCAATTCATCTGCCACGAGAAGCGGAACTCGGCGGTCCGGTTCAGTTTAGGTACGTATATACATTAATATTGTCTATATGATTTGAATTATGTATATGAATGGATACATAGATTTATTGTGCAATTGTTGTAGATGGATGTACCCGTTTGAGCGGTTTATGTACCACTTGAAGCAAAAAGCGAAACAAAAGGCGTTTGTTGAAGGAAGCATTGCAGAGCAATATATAAACGAAGAAATATCATTCTTCACCTCGTATTATTTTGAAGATCAAGTGCAAACAAAGAATAAACAACCAAACAGATCATTTCACACCGTAGATGGACCGGAGTACGAAAATGTTGTCATGGATATCCCACAATGTTTCTATAGAAAAGGATGATGTGGTGGTCGAGAATTCGATGCACATTTATCGAACAAAGATTACCATGTCGTCCACACGTATGCTTTGTTGAACTGTGAAGAAGTTCTACCGTTCGAAAGGTGCGTATATATGTATTTAATTTTTAATTGAATGGTCAGTTAAACTTATATAATTTGTATTGTGGTTTTTTGTAGGATTTTTGATGATCAGGTATTCAATACGTACGGTGATGTAAACGATGATCAGTTAAGCCAGATTAAAGAGAACGAATTCGCAACCTGGTTAAAAGAATTTGTACGTAAATCGAATAAGTAATTAATTAAATAATATCGCATAGGGAGGAACAC